CTGATCTTTCATGGAATTACACGGATAGAAAAGGAGACCTGACGAATCTCAAAATTTCTTACGAACTTTGACAGGTTCCATGACGCGAATTAAAAATCGCATGCAAATGCAGTTTACAGCTTTCGAAAGAGTGAATCTTTACCTTTAATTTGCTTTTTTTGTTGAGCGTTGTACGATATTTTTTTCACCGAGTTATTCGACATTAAAACAAAAATGGTCCTTTTTGCTTCAATGTTGAATAACTCGGTGAAAAAAAATCGTACAACGCTCAACAAAAAAGCAAATTGAAGGTAAAGATTCACTCTTTCAAAAGCAGTAAACTGCATTTGCAATTTTTTATTCGCGCCATGAAACTTGTCGAAGTTCGTAAAAAATTTTAAGATTCGTCGGGTCTCCTTTTCTATCCGTGTAATTCCATGAAAGATCAGTAGGATCGTTTTCTTAAGTATCAATTTGGAAAGTAGAGATTTCAAGCTGTAAAATGCTTTTTTGATCATCCCGATACGATCATTTTTGACGAAGTTACACTCTCTTGAATATTGCCTATTTTTGGAGGGTAGAGTAAGTGATGCTTTAATTTTGTTGAGAAGTGTATATCAAGGTCATGATTATCGAAACTACCTATTCGGTATAATATTTGCCATAAGAAGAAGTGGTCACTTATATCAGAACATCATTTTTAAATGAATTTTATTACAAAATGTCAATTTTTTATTCTGTTTTATAATCTTGTATTTTAAGCGTGTCTTATTGTGAAGTAAAACTTATGCATAAAAATACAACATTATTTGGTATAGATTCTAATGGAACTGAAGGAATGCAATACCTGGGAAGAGAGATCCAATATTTGTGCCAATCAGTTTTTGACCATAAACGTTACTTTAATCCGCAAATTTAATGCAATAAAGACGCTGCGTACAACTGTTTAGAAACACTTATCCGCTGTTCATCAATATAATCCTTTTAGGCTGCCTATTAAATCTCCTACAATATTGCTTAAACCTACAAACCTACGCCTTGCATATATCGATTCATGATTAAGGAGGATTATGGTTTGCAGAAGATATTTCAACGAAATTGCGCTAATCTATTTACATATTTGATAAATAAAATTTAACAATACATTTTAACAGTTTGTTAATACAATATATAATTATTTAAGATAACTTACTTTAAGATAAAGATTATTTAAGATAAAAATGTGAAAGTACATATGTATGTATATTATCATCGAGAGTACTCATGTGACGATCTTGAAGAATGAGAAAGTGACAGTTGGAATTAATGGACAGGCACCATTTATGATTTAGCGTTTTTGTATAATTTAAAAAACCACAAATACAAATTTAAATTCAAATTATACTTATAATATATAAGGTAATTTAATTCTAAATTTGCAATAATGATTCTTTCTGTATAGACTATGTTCCATATATATATATACATATATATATAATTCACTGTGTGATATACTTATACTGAAAATCTGTAATGTCCGTAACATGTTCTGACATGTAGTATTGAAAATCTGTAATGTGCGTAAACTGTAGATTTTAAATTGACAGTGAATATCGGAACGGCTAAAAATTGATATGATGTATGGGTGTTGTACAGGATGGCCTATATAAAGTATTACAAACTGATAACTTTAAGAATATTTGTTGTATCAAAAAGTTTTTTATCTGAAAGTTTTAGTAGATAGGCCTTTCTAACTGCGTAAAGGAAAATCCTCCACCGCCTCCTTTGAAGATGACAAGGGACGGGAGAAATTTCAAAATTTCAAATTCTTTGTTTTAAGTCATATTTCAAACACCTAAGACGAAAGAATATTTAAAACAATGAATATGTGAAGTTTGCGCTAGTGTGACCCCAGAAATGTTGTTAAGAGTTAGATAAAATTTTGTAAATAGAATTAGTAAATGTTTAAATGTAAACAGTTCGAATATTTAATAAAGTAAAAAAGAATAACAAATTATTGAAATTATTTATTTCATTTATGTTTTTATTATTAATTTAAATGCATTTTACTTTAATTATTTATAACTATTGATAGAAGCATTTTCCTGCAAAGAAATGTTTTTCATAAAGTTTAATTATTTTTTTTTATAGAATCCAAATATGTAAAATTTTATAGGGAATACTATTTAAAGTTTAGAATTTATCTCCCCCATCAAGGAAGGAAGGGGCAGAGAAAAATTTTCGTTTACGTAGTTAGAGAGATCTCTCTAATACATGAATCTTCCTCGCAAACAACTTTTTGATACGATAAATATTCTTAGATTTATTAGCATATAACTCTTTATGAGCCACTCTGCAAAAAAAGATTCAGCAAAAAAGAGTACTTGATTTTTAAATTAATAAAATACGATTTGCACAAAAGATTTTGTTTTTCCCAATCCCTACCCCATTAGCAATGTTTTTAAGTATATTTTTTTATTAATTATGCATTGTATGATTTATTGTAAAAATATTTGTTAAATGTTTAATGTATAATTATTTCACATATTTATTTAAAATAACAATTTAGAAAAAAAAATTTATTTATTGTTTATTTAGTATTTATTTAATAATCCAAATATTGCTCGTAATTATAATGACAGTATTAATAATAACTAGGCCGTTAACGAGCACAATTTTCGTGGACGTACTATCAAATATATTTCTTTTATATCAAGTTGTGCAGATATCTATAAATGCGGTACCAGTTTCGACTTGATTGCAGTCTTCATCAGCCACTAAACAATTAATACTTAATAATAATTACATAAAAACTTTAAATAATAAATAAGTAACTAATTTTACTTTGTCACGGTTTAATCATCGTTGTCCTCGGATTCTCTTTTTGGTGAGTTTTCTGTGCATATATTTTATTATGTTAACGCGCGCTCCATACATAATAGTAGCACTAAATATATTTCTCAATATCTTAGATTAATTGCGGACGAACAAAGAATGATGAGAATAAATTACAGATCTTCATACGGGTTCACGACTTATGAGCTATATTATATTAATTATATTATATTATATTATATTAGTATATATTATATTATATTAATTTGTTTTTTTTATTTTGATTTGTTTTGCGTTTTGTTAATTAACTTTTGTACCGGTTATGACGTTATGAGTATTGCGTTTTATTTTATTCACTTTTACATCAATTTTAATAACTGACACACTGCGTTGACATGAATATATTAGCGTTTTACTTATTTATCAATCAAAGTTTTTATGTAAGTATGTATTAAGTATTAATTGTTTAGCGACTTATGAAGACTGAAGTCAAGTCGAAACTGATACCGCATTTACAGATATCTGTACTACAGCTTGATATAAAAGAAATATAGTTGATAGTACACGAAAATTGTGCTCGTTTACGGCCTTGTTAACTATTATTAATATTTATTTAATATTTATGAAAAGATTATCAGCTGACGAAGAAAAGAGCAATTGGAACTAACAGAAGAATATATTTATTTAAGGTGGTTTTATCGCTCAACGCCAACTCGATAGTGTGACGTTGTCACATAAACGTCACACAATCGCATATGTACTATGCGAAATGTTTTTATTGAATTATTAGTCATATAGAAGGATTGACTTTTGACTGAAATTTGCACGATAAAACCACCTTAATCAAAGCTGACAAAATGTGTCCAAA